ATATAATATAATTAATTATATATACGACAGCTTTACAGTTTTATAGAAATAGTGTGCAAGTTTTTTCATAGTTCTTTAGTCCCACTTGATGCCATTTTCTGATATCACATTTTTTTGTAAGAAGTATATAAGATAGCATTTTTTAAAAATTTAATCTTTACGTTAAATTGGTTAACTTAATTAAAACAAAAGATTATGGTTGCGTTCCGTTTTGCGCATAGCATGCATCGTTCGCATCGCTAATGCTTAGCGCATTGGCTGCGTTTCGTTTCATTATGCGCATGATACATGCTTTGAAACGGAACGATATTGAACGCATTAGAAGCGGAAAATCAAAATGGATTCCACAATAAATTGCGCTATCAATGTGACAATGTTTTTAATTGATGAAATGAGTGACAGTAATAGTAGTGAATCATCAATGACTCTTCCTATTTTGACACTTTTTACAATATCGCTATCAATCGCCATATGCAATTACGCAATTGCATGGAACGCATAAGCTGCTGCAACTCAAACTTGAGGTAGCTGATGCGTGTATTATGCGCTGCAGGTGGTGGGGATCTAGGGAATTCTAAGCGCTGTTCATGCGCGCATTGAGTGAAACGGAACGTTTTCTATGTAATTCGTGCGCATAATGTGCGAAACGGAACGCAACCTATGAGTGTGAGGACATTTTTCCTTTGGAACTAATATGGATGGGCTAAAATGGATGTACTAATTATGCATCAGCAACATATACTGACTGCATTATATTTTACGTGTCTGGCTTTTTTTTATCATAAAATGAAGAACTTGACGAACTGCGACAATTGTAAAAAAGCTTATCAATCCTGTACCAAAAATCTAGATCTATCTGATGCTGACTTGGTTAACGAGAGAAATTGAGGAGGATTAATATGTGTTAATTCGTATTTGAACAATTTATTCAAGACTACGGAGAGTTATTTTCAACGTCGTATACAAAATAAGTGAAACGGTCAATGGTACTTGACTCTCAGACGCCCTCTGGTGACAGTCTTCCAAATTATTCCAAAATAATCACAACTCGAGAAGGCTGATCGGATCATCTATATTTAACCATATTTTTAACACCCTACTTTTAACACCGTGGATGCAATGCATAGTAATGGTTCAGGTACGTCAACCTAAGAAAATACAATGCATGGTAATGGTTCAGACACGTTAACCCAAGAAATTTTCCACTATAAGCACCCAATGACTAGTGATAACTAAGAATGAATGCATTCATATATCAGAGGATTATGTTGAGACATAGTACTTTCTCTTTATTAACCCTTAATTGTACTGGTGGGGTACAAACGTACCCCACCGTACACAATTACGCAAATATTTCTCGCGTGGCACAAGTAACGTTGCCGCGCCTCCATGTATTCTCAGAAACCAACTTTTAAAATTTTATTTCAGTTAAAACTCTTATTAAAATTTGGAGTACAAAATTACCCTGCAGGTGTAGTTGTGTAAGCCAGATTTGGCTAGTGTAGTTGAGGGTCAAATGTTAACGCTTACATTTATATGAATTGTACTCGTTTATCTGTTTACTTATTGAATCACTTTTGTAAACACACAGTTTATACAGACCTTACAGCTTCATTGTGGTTGTTAATACATTGTCTCATATATTGATAAGGCACATCTTTTTTTATATGTAAATTTGAACCAGAATGCAGTGTTTTATCTGTTATTATATGCTCCAATTGATATCTGTAGTAATTCTAATTAAAATTCAAAATTATTTTGTAATATACAAATTGCATAAATGCTAATATTTACCCAACGATAGAAAATAATCCACAAGCATGCTGTACTAAAATCACAAACATTGTATCGACTGCAATAACTATGGTGACACATATGATAACTGTAATATATCCATGAAGTAAAATTGGTATGTAATATTTTTCAACGTCTACATAGTATTCCACATTATGTAATAATGGTCGATTTGTTACATTTGGTGTAGGAAACAGTATTGGTTGGAGTGGCATTAATACAAACACTATTAAGGCAGAATATAATGCAGCTAGAAATATAAAATTAAAAAATCTTAATCAATTATACATATAACAACGAAGATATCGAGCCAATGCCAGATATTTATCGCTTATAACAATCTTCTGTTATTAATACATAATACATAAATGTTTCGGTCAAGATTTGACCATCTTCAGTATATTCCGTCAAACTTAATATTTGTCCAAAACGCAAGATCAAAAACTAAAATTACAAATACCAATACAAAAATTAAAATTATCTTAAATTAAATGACCATAATGAAAATAGAAATTAACAAAGCATGCCTGTGAGACTGTGAACACATTATGTGAGACATCAATGTGAGATGTTAACAATTTGGCAGACAGCAGACTACTATGAGAAACATTTTTAGAAAAATGTAATGGTAAAGGAAAGAGAAGGGAGAAAGGAACAAGGTAAAAGAAAGAAGAGAGAAGGAATAAAGAACAAGTAAGGATCTGAAAAAAATGGGAATTATAATGATGATAATAAGTTAAGGATTGGTATAGTAATCTAAGAGGAGATCAGTATCACTTTGTTTGTTAAGACCGTGATTCTGTCTTTTAATATGTACTATTTCTGATGTCAATCTTTTATATTAAGAGTGTTCGTCGTCTAAAATTTTAGTTCTGTCCCAATCAAACTCAATTTAACCAGTGACACGAAATCACAGAGGGAAAAGTATTTTTTTTAAATGTCCATTTGGTGTTCATGTAATCATCATCATAAGTTCTGGAAGGACGCTTACATTTATAATATAATACCCAAAAGTATTCCTGAGCCTGTTAGCTATATTTGCAACAGTTTCCAATTGGTTAACAAATTGAGCCACATTAGCAGAACTACAAACTTGTTTTTCTCGATATAGTCTCATTGTTCACCAATATTCCTGTTGATTTGGCAGTTTCCAGTATTTCGAAAAAATTTTATTTCCAAGAACATCTTGTTTACTCATGATGAATTTGTGCCATTAGATTCATTTTGAGTTCTACGTACTTCAAGTTTAACCAGTTCAGTGGTAGACTTTTTTTAAAGATTTGTGCCAAAAGTGGTAAGAATCAAAAGTTAAAATATTGAAAAACGGTGAAACATGGGTTCAAAGTTTTCGAAAAAGCAACTTTTCGGAAATGGGTGTAGATTCTCTCCCTCGCGCTCTGGGGGCGGGGGGCAAAATAGGGGTGGAAAATGTTAAATGGCACTATGGGTCGAGTGGGGACTTATTTAAAAGGGCGTTTCAAGACGAGAACAATGATTTTTGAAAATGTTTACTACGACCTTCCAGTCAAAAGTAAAGGTGGATCAAAAAAGGGGGGTGAACTTCTGAAAAGCTATCACCTCCGATTTGGCTTATATTCAACCTAAATACTTATTTTATCTAGTAAATAATATTCCCAAATGGATTTTTGGCGTAAATGCCCCCTCCGCCCTCCCCCCCAGCCTCCCTCAAAGGTTCAAAGGTAAAATTGTTTTTGTTAATTATTTCAGAAAGTATTTATTGTACAGAAAAAGTTGTCAAACAAAAAATGAAGCTCATAAAAAGCTCTACAAATAAGGTCTTATACATATTTTACCTAACTTCAATATTTTAGTCGTTTGAACAATTAACAGTCGCCATATTGGATCCGCCATTTTGAATTTTGCAATTTTGACGTCAGATTCGAATTCAGCAGCCCAAAAAACCTTAGGATATCAAGTTTTATGCAAGTCTGTTGAAAGTTATTGGAGTTATTTAAAAATGTACATATATGAAGCATTATCACGTTTGGCACTTTTTTTTGTACATATATGATACATTACCACTCAACTGGTTAATATCATCATTTATAAATAAACTTTTGGGAGTCCTATGGGCTCGTCTTTCTTTCCTATTACTCTTCACAATATAGAAGAGAAAGTAATAAATAGTTTGACCTTCAAATCTCCGTTTTACTTTAATAAGTACGTAGATAATATTTTCTTAGCTGCTTCCAGAGAATCTATAGAGAATGTTTTAGGAATATTTAATTCGTTTCACGAACAAATTAAATTTACTAAGAAAATAAGAGAGAATGATCAACTCAACTTCCTTGATGTTAAATTAATTGTTGAGAAAGACAAGATTGTCTTTGATTGGTACTATGTTATTAGGTGTATAATTAAGTTCCCGCCGCTGACTTTAGATGGTGCTGTCAACGGCGTATTGAGACTTTTGAAGTTTGTTGTTAAAAAGTCAATTGTTATTTTGTTTATAAAGTTGGCTAATATGCATTCCAACAACAATATAACAGTTTGCTGCTCAACAATTAAGCATACTTTCAGTTCAATAAAAGATGAATGCTGAAAAGGTACATCTTTGCCATTGCATGCTCCATTATTTTCATCGCGGTAAAACCGCTGCTGAAGCAACCAGAATTATTTGTGAGACTTATGGTGACAATGTTGTGGCAGAAAGAACGTGCCGAGATTGGTTCACAAAATTTAAAAATGGAGATTTTGATGTGAACGATCTACCTCGCTCTGGACGACTTGAGCCGATCAAAAACGAGGAATTGCAAACACTTCTGGATGAAAACTCAGCATAGATGCAAAAAGAGCTTGCAAAACAACTTAGAGTGACTCAAGCCGCCGTTTCCAAGCATGCAATGGAAAAGATCCAAAAAGAAGGAAAGTGGATGCCGCATCAGTTGACCAAGAAGAATTGTGCACGGCATTTTGACGTTTGTCTCGCACTGTTGACAAGACAACGAAAAAAGAGTTTCTTGTGGCAAATCGTGACAGGCGATGAAAAATGGGTTTATTATGATAACCCTAAGCGCGAAAAATCGTGGGTGGATCTTGGATAACCGACGACTTCCATATCAAAATGTAACGTACACGGCAAGAAGCTACTCTTCTATGTTTCATAAAATATGTTTCAAAGTTGACATAAATATTATTTTTATGTTGTCAAATAATTTATTATATATAATATATATATTTCAATACATGTAGTTAAAGATAATTGAATTAAAATGTTTAAAGTACCAAAAAGTTTATAGTTCAAAACGGTCCAGACTGAAATATACGTTAATCTATAGGTCAAAGTATGTAAATAGTTTCTTAGCATATATGTTTTGTATCCCCCTTCATCAATCTTTTGCAAAAAATTTTTAATTAATTTTAGTTCGATGCGGCTAGTAGCGCCTAACTGGTTCATTTTCTTTTGAAGTTTTCAAATTTAATCGCAAAATCTGATGCAAACTACACTTTGTTTTGAATCACTGTTATGACTAACAATTTTATATAAAAAAAATAATGGAGAAAACAAAAGTTATTAATTTTTTAATTAATTTTTTTAATAAAGTAAAAAAATTATAAACTAATTGTACCGTATCAGATTTCAAATTTTTCTTTACGATAAAAATAATCATTTGTTGATTACTTCTCAACTCCTGCATTTTTTTTATGTCTTCCATTGAGATTTTGAAGTTTTCGATCTATTAGACGGCATGCGAGGAACCAAAATTGACTTATTAATTGATGTTGTAAAACAAGGAACAGGTACACGTACCGGCACGTATGGTGTCCCTCGCCGGCAACGATATACGTGTGTGAAACAACCGAAGACGTCATACACATTCACACAAACGCGTATTCGACGTGTCGCTTGAAGCGAGGAGCACAGCGAGCAGCAAGGGGAATAGTAGTGGGGGATATTTTCATCTTGCATCCTTAGCGCAAATTGGACGATCGAGAGAGAAAGCATCACAAGACATGAGGTTTGTTCTTTTTAGCTGAACTAGTTGCACTAGTTCAGAAAGTGTACACTGAGACGTTCGTTTTAACGGAATTAACGTCAGATGTGGCTGTTCTTTTTCGAAGTGTAGCGATCCTCAGTTCAGTAGTTCTCTGCACTGCTTGCCCTAGGTCTTGAGGTAGTGCAACAATTCAGTGCAGTGTTTTAACCTGGAAATTTAAACAGGTAAATTTATGTAAACATATTAACCTTATACTATAAACATTGTATTTTGTGAAGATTACTAAAATACAAGTTACAATATGTGCATATATTTTTATTACTATTATGCAATTAACATATTACATATAATTTACAATTATTATTCTTAACAAGAATACATTAAAATATTTTTTGTCTTGGCAATAGCTGAACTAATAAAGATATATATACATTAAAATATTTAGGTAAATATTTTAATATTTAGTTATGCACGTTTATAATAAAAACTAATATTTTTTAAATATATTTTTATATATTAAATTTCAATATACATGTGTAGGAAGCCATAATAAATGAAGAATTTGGTGAAATATCAAAAGATGCAGCAGGCAATTTTTTAGTAGACAACAAATGGATTTG